GGGGGGGTGTTGGAAGGGTGTAAAGGGGTAAGGTAAAGCTATTCATTAAGAATAATGTTATCATGTGTATACAAAAATAAAGATGAGAAAATGTATCATCATCATCATCATCATCATCATCATCATCATCATCATCATCATCATCATCATCATCATTAAGCACACTAGTTGTGCAGCTAGATATAAATCAACTTCAGTTGTCGTTCTTTGCAAGGGCGTTAACCACGTCTTTTTATGAATGTAATTTCGTTGTCATTGTTATTTCCCTTCAAAGACATTTCAGCGCATGAACTCAATTGGTTGCTTTAAAGGACAAGCGGGTCAACCCAGATTTCGGGGGTTTCCAGGACCAAAACCAGAAGTGGACAATGCCCTACCTACTACCTATAGGAGAAGTTTGGTTTCATTGGTGTGTACATTAAAATTTGTTTGGTTACAGAGAAAACTCTCCTTGCCTTTGAAAGAAACTGAACAAGGGGCTAAAACTTTACCTTCGATTTTCTCAAAACTGCATTCATTTTTTTCGAGATAGCCCCCTTGTGCTTAAAAGAGACCAAATTGTTTGGTAATGAAGCTGTCTTTGGAAATACGCCAACAGACGCCACAGCAAACAATTGAGGAAATGCCTAATATGGGCTATGACGTCACCTTTGTGGGCTTTGGGTTTCGTGTTGATTTTGGTTTCCGTCTTGTTTCGTCTCAAAAGCAACGTATCTGCCTAGAATGGTCGAGGAAGAAAAGAACATATTATTGCGTAAAACATTTTTGAAAATCTTCACAAGACGTTATATTGTATGCATTAATAAGCCGTTGTAAAGCGAATATCCTTGCACAAAAGTGTTTTTTCGAGGAGAACCATAAGAGCAGTTTGAAATATTAATATATTTGAACGGAAACAAAACAAAACAACAGCACCTCCTCTAAAAAAAACCCCCAAAAACAAAACTCAACCAAACAAATAAATACACAAAAAACAAACAAAACCAAACAAAATAACTACGTAGGCCTACACTCTTTTATACATAATTGACACACCCTCCCTTTTTTCCCTTTTCCTATGTGTTTATGAAAATGCATATCACAAGTGTTAAAATACCTGTCTTCATACTGTTTGTTTACGATATATTATAATAAGAAATATCATACTTAAGTGTATGGATGTTTATGTGTGTATTTTGTGATTGTGTGTGCTTGTGTGTGTGTGTGTGTGTGTGTGTGTG